AAAGGACTGCTCTGGTGCTACGAGTGCACAGCAGGAAGCACTCTTGTTGTGGGCGTTCTCGCTTTTTCTCCGCTTTCAATGACGTCCCCTGCAACCCGAAATTTGATAGCATTTCACCGGGTGTCCCACCGACCGGCGTCGTAGACGGCAGTGCCCCAGTATGCGAGGCACTGAGGTTGGAATTTTACTGAGTCATTGTGATTCCCTGGAGTCTCTAGTTCAGTCTAGCCGAGCCCTTCTTCAGGTCGTCCCCACCTGAGACAATAGTACTCCTTGTGGACCATGGATCAAAAGGGGTTTTACCACCGTGCGACTAGTTTGCTATTAGGACTGTGGTGATTCCTAGCATTGCCTTACCCTTCGTTATTGTTCCGGATGGAAACTACATCGCAACCGGACACTTAACACGTCCCAGCCACGATGTGGCGGTAAGCCGTTGGGAGGTCTAAACCATATTAAGGGGAAAATTTACGTACCGTTTGCTTGTTTTTCTGAAATACCACCAATATAACACCTCTCGTTTGTGTCACCGAATAATTTCCTTTGATTGTGGACATCACAACTGTCTCCATATATTCCCGTTTTAGCACCACGACCCTATTCCTGATCTTTCATGTTTTCCAATGTCCTCTATTAATGGTTTCCTGGACAGTCTCCTCTGATACCCCTTTCCTGCTCTTATCAGATTAGCGACTATCATACCAGTTTTCTTCTCAAAAAAACTTTCCGCAAAAGTGGGCCATGGATCTACTCATCAAGGAAGCAGTAAGTTATTGTGCAGTGCCGAAGTTGATAGAAACTCGATCCTGGGAATTAGTGAGGAAAATGCAGGGTGATTTTCTTAAGAGGAGAAATTCCAGTTTTCGCGAAGCAAATCGAATCCTGGCAAGCAGGGATAGTACAGGCTGAAAGCCAGGAAGCAACCCGGAAACGGTCAATAACAGTTTATGTATGGCTCGAAATTTGGTAATTTGATCACTGATTTGTTCAATTCGTTCACAGTTACAACTTGTAACTGCTTCCAATACACTTCTAGAAGAACGAGTCACCGATAGAGCCGATATGCTCTGGCCATCATTCTCTTCCAACTTCTGGCATTGGAAATCGTAAAAGTATTCATTAACATCTTCTATAGCATTTGCGACTTTAAAACGAAGGTTTTTTCTGTCGTGCTTTTAATGGAAATCCAACATGTGTGATTGTCTTCCAGCTCTCAGCCCTCTTTTCTATCATTTTGATATTTAACCGTTCGTTTAGTATTCAAATGACTGGGATCACTTCAACTTGGCTTCAATACGAACGAACTCGAAAAATTCCTTAATGGTCTAGTTATCAAGATCCCTGAAGAAGCAGAAAGTTCAACTAGCCTGAGCATTCGATTACTTTAAACAACCAGACCTTAAGTGGTTATTTGATCAAGATTCTCGAAATGATCAAGATCCAATTACTCTATTATTAAGGAAATGTTGCCTACTTTTGGATAGCCTTTTGGACAGGCCGAATCTATCAATCGAGCACTCTCAATTTGCTGTTCTACGATAGTCGTAGACGATTCATCGTAGTTTCTGAGACATGCTTATAGGGTTAAGAGAACAAAGCGTACGGCGTTGATGTATTCCTAAGAAATATGCTATGTTTTCGATTCCACTGAACATCTTATAAGGTGACTGGGTACATATTCGGTCAATACAATGATTTGTGTGACTACCATGTCAGTGTTTCTATCCACCTGGACCATGCTAGTGTTCATCCGCCGATCGCGAAGAGATAGAGAGCTTGGTTAGTCAGAGACGCGGAATCGAACCAAAGACCAGCTCTGTGTGCATTGCTAAGGTGACGCTTTACGAGTTCGTCAAGTCCCTAGATCCTTGCGTGCTCTAATTGTTGGGAAATCATACGCGCTTATGAAGAAGTTAGCATCGTCACAAATGCTCAGACATGCCAGTACGACCACGAACGATCGAAAGTGTACCCCGATATATACGGAAGTCTTTAAGGATACAAATACAATGAGACTTCTAGCGGTGTGCTCCTAAGAGTGGCGCCTCACAAGTCAAAGAGGTCGTCGTACCAAAGTAGCACGGGATTGCAAGAATGGCGAGACAACGATGCAGACTATGAGTGTGTACTTGCGAGTGAGACGCGCATGTTCTAGTCTATCTAGAGATTTAAAATCTGGCAGAGAAAGCGAGACTAGGCAACGAAGGGCATGTGGGAACTGTGAGAGCCTCCAGAGTGCAAGCGCTGAGAAAACGGCGATTCGAGAGAGTTGTAGAGAGACGGAGAGGATGAGGGAGTACATGGAGGTCGAGGCGACCAGACTGGCTGAAGGCGAGGTTATGTGGGAAACAGGGAGGCGGCAGGAGTTGACGCGGACCGGACCACCAGGCGCAGGCCAGCACGGACCATTGCCAGCTCGGTCACTGTGCTGTTGAAGAACATCTACCGGACCAGCTGACAGCGCAGACCGTCCATCGACATCTTATCTTCCTTTTTTTTGTTTTTTTTTCTTCTCGGTTAACACTGTAGCAATTGAGGTCCCGTTGTCGTACCGTCTGTTCGCTCCCTAAATTATTCATTACTTTCATGACGGAAAGTTCTGTGTTCAGAACGCGACCTGCTTTTCTTAAAAAAATGGAATAATCCTACCGCATTGATGAAAATAACCCTACCATAAACCTGCGACAGTAGTTTAGAAGAGTTTCGAAACCCTTGTGCTATTTTCATTCATCGTCTGCAATTCTCCACCCATATAGGTGCTTTTAGAGAACTACTACATATTTTCTAAACTTGTTAATACTGCTGTGTACTTTCCACTCCATTCAATTTCAGCATTACTGCTTTGCATCATTTTCTTTCCCCGTTCTCCTTTGTCCTTTGAGCAAGCTGACGTTTCGGCGCATTTCGCCCTCCTCAAAGTCGCTTTCTTAAGTCCTCCTTGTTGTCTTGTTTCTTTTTTTCTTTGAGTTCTTTTTTCAGCAGCAACGTTAATCTTTTTGGCTAGAGGGCAGTACTCTCGTTTGCCACTTTTTTCCTCAGTCATCACCATGTCGAATGGAGAAGAGAGTTTGAGCAGGGTGTGGTCGAAGAGCTGTTGGGTAACAATGGCCCATCAGGTCTCTCACTGTTGCCTCAGCGTTTGAAGACCCTGACATCTGCATAATTTTTAACAACTGCTTTTTTATTATTACATGGCCCTTTATCACATTCACTGTGCGGATCCCAGGACTTCTTGCATTCGATCCGTTTTCCTGGCATTCATCTTCCACAACGGACTTCGAACAACTGGCGTGGTTTCGGCTGCTGCTTGAGGATTTTATCGTCTTTTAAGAGTGCCGTAGAATGAAGGTCGAACCGACCTTCCTTAAAATCTCGGAGGTGGTCGAGCTAGGGCATTCCCACGCGGATTGGAGAGGAGCCTAGGAGAGGGAGTCAACCCAATCTTTTCTCCTGATCGACTGTCTCACTGCTCACTCAGCTGCCCCTCTCTGAGTAATTCTTTAATAGTATTTTGTCCAAAACAACATTCTTTACACTTTTTAGGACAAACACTGGATTTAGTAGGAATCTTTCCTCTAAGAAAAGTAGAGTGAACATGAAATTTTTACGAATGACTCCTTTTCTGAAAGAGGTCGTTTGTTTAAAGAGTGTGATAAAGCACATATAATTCGGCCTTGACAAACAGCTTAGAAATGCGTCATGATTTAGACTCCATCGAGGAGTAGAGTTTGATTAGCCGGAGCGGAGCACGAAGTCGAACCAACGACGACGTGTGTATTGCAGGACACGTTTAACTACTGTATTATACGCGCCAAATTTTAAGGAACACGTCGGAAGGAGATGACGTGACTGTTATGAGGAGATCTGTGGGCTGAATTTTGACATAGAAGCGATTACGCTCGTTCTGTGACTATTTGGAATTTATCTTCGAACGTATATTCGGAATGATTCCTGGTGGCTGAGTTTGCACTTTGGCAGGACTGTTGTCAGGGAACACTGTTCAGTACTTTTTCAACTTATTATTTACTGCCTACTCCTCTTTTTAACGGCAGGGTATTCATTGTGAAATATAACTTCAACGATGCTGAGATATTTGCAAAACTCCGGACCGCAGGTGTATGCGGTGGGGAACGAACACGCGCTGTTGTCCTTACCGGGGAGCAGCGCACTTCACCACCACACCATCCTGGTCCTTCGTCTTGCCTGTCTCTCAGCTAGTTCTATCGATCTTTTGCCGTCAGCAATCACCCGTCAACGGGATTGATCTGGGGGCCTAAATCGGCAACGAACCCAGTTATGCTGAGGCTGCAGTTTTTTTTTGACAACAGCGCGTGTTCGTTCCTCACCGCATACACATGCGGTCCGGAGTTTTGCAAATATCTCAGCATCGTTGAAGTTATATTTCACAATGAATAGCCTGCCGTTAAAAAGAGGAGTAGGCAGTAAATAATAAGTTGAAATTGTGATTATAACTGCAGCCTCAGCTTAACTGGGTTCGTTGCCGATTTAGGCCCCCCAGATCAATCCCGTTGACGGGTGATTGCTGACGGCAAAAGATCGATAGAACTAGTTGAGAGCCAGTCAAGACGAAGGACCCGGATGGTGTGGTGGTGAAGTGACCTGCTCCCCGGTAAGGACAACAGCGCGTGTTCGTTCCCCACCGCATACAACTGTTCAGTACCATCACAGAGGCTGCTCGATATATTTCCAGTGCTCTCCCAGGTGGAGGATAATGGTGTAATCGCGGACCAAAAACGAGCTTTGTTTTCCTGAGATGCAGGTGAATCCAGGGAATGCAATCCCTGTTCTTGCAGTTCCGATTTGACACATACCTTTTTGTTACCCAGCTCCTAGTGACTTTTGTCGACTCATCCATCTCCACTTGACTTGATAAACTTGACGCCTGTTACGTGTTTGTCTGAGACGTTAATTAATGAACTTGATAGTACCTGGACTTGAAACTGTTAATGACTAGATTTCCAGACGGATCAGATAACGTGATGCTGCCGTTATCGATTTTCGCGTTGTTTGGCGTGATCGCGCGCGCAGAACTCGATTGCGATGCCATTGACAGAGCTTTCCGTGCCGCTACCGACAAAAATGAAACGGTTAGTAAACTGGTTTGAATTTTTCCTCAAGATGTAGGACTTTTCGGAAGCTCGTTGGTAGGAAGTACAATCTGATTCATGTTGAGGGTACGGCTATGTCTGTCTTGTATTCTCGAGGTGAGGTGAGTTTGTTGTTGAGCAGTGGCTCCGTCTTCCATCCTGCTTTTCGTTCCGTATTTCGGTCTTTTCATAGCTTTTCGTGGTAGTTTCTTGATTTTTTTTGTACCATACCAATCCTGTAAGATCTCCATTGTTCACTTGTTGTCCCTTGATTTTAAAGGACTTACAACTCTTCGGTGCGGTTAAGAGAACTTGTCCATCATCCATGCACGGTGCTATCAGCCTTTTATGGCCGTATCGTATAGGCTTATTCATTTCTCTCCATTCCACACCATAGTTTTGCTCGTCATAGCGACAGTAAAGGGAAGAAGAACGCACAACCGTCGAAGGGATGAAAGTGTATATCGAGCTGGTCTCTGCTTTGGTATGGAGAAACATTGGAAGAATAGCCACGGCTATGATGAGTTGTGGTGCTACTTATACGTGATATCCTCTTGATCCATAAGTTATACTGGGGAACAAGGTTTAAAAGCTTTGAATCACCTCCTCCTAGCAGATAAGACGAGTAGGCAGATAAGAAGCAGATGAGAACGTACAGCAGATGTGATGGAGAAGACTACGTAAACAAGGTCATTCTGCTGGTCGAACTTGTCATCAGAATGATTTTACAAGGAAGGAGCCAATATTGAAACACCGAAGATCTGCCGTGATTATGCACAGGAAGTGCAGGCACTTGAATTCAAGGCCCAAGTCTACTCAAGTTCTATCCAATGAACATACAGCAGCTATTTTCACCCTCGAATACCTATGTGCTAAATGTTGACGGCCAACAGTCAGGGGAACGAACAACTTGTGTTGGCTGCTATAAGGAGTGGTATGAATGATGCAACGTCAAATGTTTTTATTTTGGAATACATGCAATACAGGAGGACACACGTTCCGTCAATGCGACCAATGTTTCACGTCTATTTTCATAATTTTCGTAAGATTGGTTAGTTGTACGAGTCATAGACTCTAAAGTCGTATATGAAAGTTTTGAACTGTAAAGTTTGCGCATTTGTAACGGTCGTAGTTGTATATAAATTTATATATTTCTATGAAATAATCTTGTTGAGCTGGTGTGAGGTTAGTACATGTTGTCGTTGTCGTTGTTGGTCGATGGCGGGTTTAATCCAACTATCAAAGGGCTCTGAGAAAGGACAAATCGCTAAAACTTCAGCCATCGACCAACAACAACAACAACAACAACAACAACAGCAACTTATACAAACCTCGCATCGGCTCAGCAGGATCAGTTCATAAGAACATACAAATGAATATATCGATTATTTAAAGCGCACGTGTGGTGCAGTGGTCGGAGGTGCCCTGCAAAACATACATGGAATCCCCTTCTCTCAGGGGTCGTGAGATTGGTACCAAATTTGTCTGGGAGGATACCAGCAACGTTCTATACATCGGTAGGCCACCGCTAGTCAATGTAAAGGCCAGGTATGCATGCAGTCATCTCCAAACGATCCTTAATGGAGTCGAATGCATGGCACATCCTACAAGGATTGATCAGCACCAAAAGCTTTTGAGCTCTATCGATTATTTATGTTGGGGTTCATGGAAGGTCGGTCTTTTGAGTTGCATAAAAATTGTTGAGATAAGTGTAGATTGAAGAGACTGAAGGTTGTGATTATACAGTGTGACAAAAAAGTGTATGTACACTGCCGAAATTCGGGATAGCAAAGGTAACGTTCTAGAGAACATCGTTTATTGCGTTAGTGAAACGTTGTAAAAATGAGGGCTGAAGTCTCCAATGACATATTTAATGAAGAGGCATCTGTACTTCCTCAGTTCGCGTAATTCTTCCACACATCGCAAGAGCATCTGTACTTCCTCAGCGACTTACTACTTGACCATGGCGCTAAACTCCCTAAATCCCAAGATTCAGTGCGCAAACACGCATTACATATACATATGAGATACTGACCGCCCTGTCAATAGGAATTGCTTGTACAGCTCGTACAAGGGGCGTTCTTGTATCATCTTAGGAATGGAGTGGAGCTTTCAACGGTAGAAGCCTTTTACACTTTGTCTGAGCTGTAGAACGAATGCAAAAAGTTTGGCAAAAAACGCTGCAAACGGTAGAAACAGCCTAGAATAAGGTGAGTCGTATACGGTCCATGTTGTCGCCAATGTGGATTGAAACGATAGGAAAGTGTACTGCCAGTGGGTTGAGCTGCCCGTAGTTATTCGGAGGTATTAGAAGTACAGTTGCTTCCCGAAAAATACACTAAACAATGTGCAGGAATAAGAAATGTGAAGCAGATGTACCCTGTGTGGTCGTACTTAAGTGGTTCAACGTGCTGCTGGGACTGGAATATTACGAAGTGTTCTTCAGGTGGTTATGGGCAACCGTTTAAAATTTTGCTCGTCGTTGTTTTACAAAGGTTTCTCATAGGAAGATTATGCTTGGAAAGTGAAATTCATTGAAAGTTTGCCAAGCATAAGTAGAAGTTACGCAGAAGTAGGAACAATGAAATTAAGGCCTTAACGTCCTAAAGTTCTCGGCGTATTTGGAAGTGTTCTTCTCTTAGATTGATTTCCCGTTTGCGGTCGGATGGAAATGTCATACTGAGAGCTTTCCACTTTGACTTCGCAAACATACCAACTGAATGAATGACTTTCCCTTCGTTTCTTGATTTGGGAATGGCGAAATGTTGATTTTTTAGGAACCTTGCAAATGCTTCAATAGAGGATTCGATGCCACTGTTAACGGAATTACGATTGGGTGAGAATCTACGAGCGTTTAATTTTTGTAGTGGTTGGTGTAGTTGAAAAGAATATAAGAGCAGAGTGAGTACTCTACTCTGTTCTGTAGTAGGGGTTCAGATGAAAAGATCCTACCTTTTTATTGTCGCATTAGATCTAATACTTCTTTAGATTGAATGGATGCTAGATGTAAGCCATTATTTAGTTCTGTTAATCTTAATAGAATCCATCAGAACCACTCATCCATAGCTCCAAAGTGGCAATGGCGGGTTTCTGTCACATCTTTGATACCTTAGCTTAATTCTTGCGGGCCTTGCAGTGAACTCGTGTATAGTTTTCTTTTCTAAGTTGAATAATAAACCTTGGTATCTTTTAGTTCTTCTGTCCTGAACTTAGAGAATTTGATTATCCGATGGTCCTAGCAATGAGGCTTGGCCAAGAATCGGATATAAGCCGTGGTTGACGAAGAAATGAAGTTTTATGCGTAGTTAACACAACAGTCGCAGGGATAGTGGGTCTTCGATAAATTGCGTGCTTAGTTGGATTGAAAACATGGCAGACTTATAAAGAAGACTGTACTCCATCGTTTTAACGGTATATAGAACTGATCTAAATTAAACAGAAAATTTCTTACCTGTTCTGCAGGTCTGTACAGAAATCCACTTGTCTCGTTCACCACCCCTTTCCTAGACTGTTTCTGTGGTGCACACACAATTTCAATCCACGAATGCCAATGGAAGCCACTTAATTTGCATGTTTTGTTTTAAAAAACGACATATTTCCTCTACTAGGGCGTGTATTAGTAGCAAAGTCCTGCAATCAATACTTTTGTTCCTACAGAGTTTATAACTCAGTGGTCCAAATCCCTTTTTATTTCGGCAATCCATCGAGAATTGAGACATTTTTGATAATTCCATTGTGACAAATCCAGTTATGGAAAAAGGACATTTTGTTAAAATGGTCATTTGATTTGAAGTGAAGTGAATCAGTAGCTGCCGAGATTAACAGAAAGAATTTAGATGTTATGGTCAGACACTTCCGCAGGTTTCGAAGGCGCTGCGTTTGGTAAACGAATCCTTTCCGGAGAAGGTGCATATCTGGAACTCTTACCTCACCGTCATTCCATCCGATATGTTCGACCAGGTATCTTTTCACTGCTCTTACTTTCACTGTGTAGTGAACACTGGATTTTGACATAAAGGCTTGAGGAAACAAGGTTGCATATATTCCTAAAACTATTTGTGAAAGATTTCGGAGAAAGAAAGGACGTCGTTCTACCGTCGATGAAACTTGATTTGGACCAGTCCAAGAAATCTAACCAAACCTCAAACAATTCAGTTTTAGGTGAAGCCGAGATATCTTTCAATCGAAAGAAGTTTTTTGACGTTATTACGAGAGAATGCTCTTGGCACCATTGGTCCACGACTACATGGACTCTCCCTGAGAAATAACAATCTGAAGACAGTGGATCGTTCGGTGCTCCAAGGACTTACGAGCCTTCTGGAGTTGAACTTGTCAGGTGAGCTGATTTAGCGTTTAAACACTTGTTATCAGAACTTGGTTTATGAGGCTTTTTGTTTCAGGAAATAGGATGAGCTCTTTAAAAAAGGGGGTATTCGACCTTACTCCTGAACTTCGTGAGCTTTCACTGAACGACAACGACATAGCTACCATTGAAGACCGCACGTTTTCCAAATTGACGTCGCTGGAGAGGCTCAGTTTGAGTGGAAATCAGATTCGTGTCATCACCAAGTAAGAACGTTTGTGCTATTTAGGGTTTCACTGGGAAGTTCGAAAACGGTGCTCAAGTCAGCCATGCAGTAGAATATTAAGAGCTTCGAGAAATGTTGTCATTGTCCAGACATTCAAATGTTCAAGAGCGCGCGGTGTTTGAATTGATCATTAAATTCAGTTGCTCCCGGTGATCGAGCACGTGACATTCGAAATCAAATTTTTGATTTAAAAGTTTAACCGAACGTGGAACCTTGTTGGCTGTTGCTTTCGTTAGCCCACCATATTTACATTAGCTGCTTGACAATGGGCCCGTGATCATTCCACGTGCATAAGATTTGCAACAATCTTTTAATATCATTTGGATCGTTGGTGAATCTTTATCGTCAGTGCAGCTATTATTTTGTACACTTTACATTTGATGTTAGTTTTGTATAGTTTTTGTCTTGCGTACCATTTTTGCAGTTCACGATTTCTCTCTCTTTTCCTCCCTCCAGTTGTTTCAACAAAAAAGCTTGAAAAGTCTAGAGTCATTGTAGTGTTCACTGATGGGTCTTCATCGCGTATTCTTCCATCTCTATATTAGAACGTGTTCAGTTTAAGTTCTCCGTTTTAGGGACATGTTCTATGGATTGGATTCGCTTGAAGTACTGAACTTGCAGAACAATCAGATTACCAGTATAGACTGGTCGGCCTTCGCGAACCTGAAGCAACTGAGAATTCTCGATCTTGGTACTAATCATGTCACAAACGTAGGTTTCCTTGATGCATTAGTGGAAGTTTTATCTGTTTTTAATTGTTGGACAAATGTACTCTGTGTCGGTATCGGTGTTCATTGTGCTTCATCCTTAGCCACCTTTAGTTTGTGGCACGTTAATTATCGTCGTCACTCTCTCTACAGTTTTCTGCCTCATCGTGGCTGGGATGTGTTCCTGGGTGTTGAGCTGCGATATATAGCGGAGGTATTCATCCCCCGACAAGGTCTCCCATGCTGAGAAGGAGTGTGGCGTTTCCATCCCTAGCTAAGAGTGAACCAATACCAGGATCCACCACCGTCCTAGTATCAAAGTCGCTTGTTGGCAAATCTCCTTCTGATCCACAAGGGCTGGAACTGCCTGTGGTGCTGAGCTGGGGTAGATTTTGGCCAGACTGACCTCGGGACTCCATGGGAGCACTATAGCTAAACTAGCAAAACTCCGAAAAACAGAACATGCTGGGACTCGCACAACTAGTGAGGATGTGCCATCCAAGTATCCAAGTAAGTAAGTAATTATAATCTCGATTATGACGAAACCGGGAATCTTGTTGCCTCGTAATGTTTGGACTTTGTCGAGTTAACCTTCTACACTTGCTTTGGGTTTTTTAAGGATAACGGAACAAATTTGAATTCACTAACAGCTTTCATTATCTTGTTTCAGTTCATACTGCACAAGAACCGATCTTGTCTTCGTTCTGATTTAGGTTGAGTTGCGTGGTTTGGAGAATCTGCAAAAGTTATTTCTGAACAACAACAGTTTAAATTCACTCAATAGGGTGAGCCTTAGGTGAGTTGCTACCGTTATCTGTAACATCACTACCGTCTAGTTTAGTTTTTTCACTTTCTTTTTAGAGACCTTCCTTCACTGATATTGCTCTCCTTGGACCGAAACTCAATTTCGGAAATAGGAGACGGCGACCTTTCGGGTTTAGCAAGAAGCACACGGCTTGAGAGTCTGACCATCGCTGCCAACAATATTAGCCAGGTGAGCCTAAAATAATGAAAACCTTATTGTAATAATGAGTGTAGTTTACGCTCTAGTGAAAGTATGTATGAGTAAACAAATAAATGAATAAAACATTACTTTTGGTTGCTTTGTGTAGTATTAGGAAAGCCGTTCCTTCCCCAGTTCCGCCCATCGTCGATAAATTGGACATAGTATTGGAGTGTTGGAACAATGCACATTAACCATTAGGTTTCAAACCAGTGCAGCTAAATGGAATGTAGGAATATATTTATTCATATAATCTTATAAACTGATCTTCTTTAGCTGATGCGAGGTTGGTATAGGTCTTCTGTGTCATTGTCGTTGTTGTCGATGTTGTTGGTCGATGGCTGACGTTTCGGCGATTTCGCCTTCGTCAGAGCCTGGACGTATTTTATATAAGAATACTTTAAAATTGTTCGGTGGAAAAAAGGCTAAAGTATTAATGAAGCTCGAAGCTCGAACTTTTAAATAGGCGCCGTATTGAACAGAAAGGCCACTCACCGTAATGTTACGTGTGGGACTGGTCCACACGTAGTTCACGTGGAGTCGCGAGCAAGACACACCCCGGGGTCAAAATATAATTTTGAAATAGGGCGCCAGGACACGCGTGATAGTGAGGCATTCGTCTTTCCGGTTCACCTTTGGATTTTTGAAATTTATCCAAAACGCCTCAAAACGTTTTGCGCGTTGATGTTTTCGACCCCTGCGCTAGGATCCGCAGGAACTTCAAAATCATCACCGTTGTGCCTTTGTACCCTATGCGTATCTAGAGGAGTGTTTTGACGAATTCTAGCTTCCCCATCTAAATGTTCTTTTATGCGGACACAAAGTGGTCTGGTCTACCCGCTTTCCTAATATATTCCTCACCGCACGCGTTACATGAGATCAACTACATTATATCTAAACTCATGCAATCCCCTCTCTCCCGCTGGGGCAAATCGTACAGTTTTCTGAGCTGCACAAGCGACCATAGAGACAGTTGCGAGCTTACTGACGGCGTAGGGTATTGGGTGGGATGTCGTTAATCGTTAAATAATTTTGAAGACCACTTTTTCTTAAGCATCTCTTAATGGCGTAACTTACCTCATTTGATATGAACGTTTGCTTAAAAAGGATCTTACATACGTCCGAAACATTATTTTGGGGAACTGCCCTACGTTTTTGTCTAACCCGAGTGGCTTCTACTTCGTAGCCATTGGAAATGGCTATTTCTCGTGCCGGGTTTTGCTATTCCTTCCTTTCCTCTTCTCCTGTGTACACATTTTTAGCCGTACAGTTCATGTTTTTGATAAGTGCTTTTTGTCTTGTATGCCTTCACACATGAAAAAAGCACTCATAAAAAACATGTACCGTACGGCTGAAAATATGTGTAAAGGAGAAGAGGAAAGGAAGGAATCGCAAAACTTGGCGCGAGAAATAGCCATTTCCAATGGCTACGAAGTAGAAGCCACTCGGGTTAGACAAAAACGTAGGGCAGTTCCCCAAAATAGTGTTTCGGACGTATGTAAGATCCTTTTTAAGCAAACGTTCATATCAAATGAGGTAAGTTACGCCATTAAGAGATGCTTAAGAAAAAGTGGTCTTCAAAATTATTTAACGATTAACGACATCCCACCCAATACCCTACGCCGTCAGTAAGCTCGCAACTGTCTCTATGGTCGCTTGTGCAGCTCAGAAAACTGTGTGATCTGACCTAACGGGAGAGACGGCGATTGCATGAGTTTAGGTATAATATACTTGATCTCATGTAATGCATGCGGCGAGGAATATATCGGGGAAACGAGTAGACCACTTTGTGTCCACAAAAGAGAACATCTAGATGGGAAAGCTAAAATTCGTCAAAACACTCCTCTAAGTACGCATAGGGTACAAAGCACAACGGCGATGATTTTGAAGTGTGTGTACGGATCCTAGCGCAGGAATCGAAAACATTAACGCGCAAAACTGTTGAGGAGTTTGGATAATTTTTAAAAATCCAAAGATGAACAGGAAGGACGAATGCCTCACTGTCACAAGTGACCTGGCGCCCTATTTCAAAATGATATTTTGACCTCAGGGTGTATCTTGCTCGCAACCCCACGTGAACTACGTGTGGGCCAGTCTCACACGTAACATCACGGTGAGTGGCCTTTCTGTTCAGTATGGCGTCTATTTGAACGTTTGATCTTCATTAATACTTTAACCTTTTTTCCACCGAATAATAAAAATATTCTAATATAAAATGCGTCCAGGCTCTGAGGAGGGCGAAATCGCCGAAACGTCGGCCATCGACCAACAACACCGACAGCAACGACAACGACACAGAAGTCCTATACCAACCTCGCATCAGCTAAAGAAAATCAGTTTGTAAGATCATATAAATAAATATATCAACTATCTATGCCGAGGTTATAGAAAGTCGGTCTTTTGGAACATTGGGATATTTTTTGCGTACTGGCAAGGCAGGTGCTAGTAGAACAAGTGAATTCCTTCCAGTGTTTGTCTTTAGTTTACAAAGTCGTTATTATTGTAGCATTAGTTACTGTTATTACTAAGTATTTTTCTTGCCGTTTATGTTAATAGGAAGGATAAAACGTTCAGTGTTTATGAATCCCTAAGGGAGGAGGCGTGCATTCGGCTTCATTAAGTTTTCGAAAGAAGCTGACAGCTCAGACACGCTGAAGAAGTATTCTCTTCTGAGAATTTGTTGTAGCAAAGGTACTTCATTGGGAATGGCACCAGACATTTTGTAATTTTCTGACGTCTACGTCCATGATTGGTCACAAACCATGTCATTCGTTTGTGCTGAAAATTCGCGCAGTTGGCGAACTGCGATAAGTACACATAACAAACTAGGTTCTCTTCAAAAATATCCTTCAAGTGGTCGCTTCTTTGCGTCCGGTAAACTTTCAACTCTTATTGCAGTAATTTTTCACATTGCAGATATCTCAGCGAGCGTTCTCTTCTGTTCAACATCTCAGCGTCCTTGCGATTCAGAACAACCAACTGACTACACTCACCAAAGGTTGGTAAAAAGTGATCTTATGTGAATGACAGGATGTCTGTGGGTCGTTAATGTGAAAATTGTAGTGATGCTTATAACATGTGAAAAGATGAATTAGCTTCTGCCACGTCTTGAAACTTTTATCTTTGCAGTATTCGTGTGAAATGCTCGCATAAAATTTGCATTTTCTTAATATCAGTGTAATGGCTTAGGATTTCATGGAATTTATAGAGAATACACTTAGACTTGAAGACTTGCATGGCCCGTCCTCACTAATTGTGCGGACCTCAGCTTAATTTCCATTTTTTGGGGTTTTGCTGGTTTAGTCACTGTATCGAAGTATCCCTGGAGTGTCGAGGTCAGCTTAGCCAATGTCTGCCCCAGTTCGTCACCACCACAAGCAGTTGCCGCCGTTGTGGAGCAGAGGGAAGTTTGCCACCATGCGACTAGTTTGATACCAGGACGGCGGTGGATCCTGGTATTAGTTTGCTGTTAGCTGGGCCTCCTGATGAAAACACCGGACTTGTTCTAAGTTTAGGAGACCTTGCCAGAAGGATAAATTCTTCCACTGTACTTCGTAGCCCAACATCCAGGAACACCTCCGAACCACGATGAGGTGGTAAACCGTTGGGAGGTCATAGAGAATAAGAATGACAGAATCGGTAATGCGGTCGCCAGCACAGTGATATATGTCAGAGGGCTGGTTATATGACAAATAACATGTTTAGGGGAATAAGAGCTGTGTTTCTCTCGAAAAATAACCGATCTCATTTTTTTTTCCATTTATGACTTATAAAACTAGCAGAACAGCAATGACGAAATGGATCGTTCCAGACGGCCAGCCGTATTTGCGTACACTTCGTCGCCTGTCCACGTTGCTCATTTCGGGCAACCAACTGCGCTCGATAGGCGAAGATGACCTGCCACGATCTCTCACCGTTCTCGCTGCTGACCACAACCTCCTGGAAAATGTACAACGTTATTTTTCTGATTTTACTATTCCCCTAACAAATCATTGTTTTTTTCAGATTGATGAGAATGCGTTCAAAGGAATGAACTTGCACAAACTGTTCATCAACAACAATAAATTGCCCTTTTTACATCCCCGAACGTTCGACTCCATTTCGTTCGAGACCTTAGAGGCAATCGACGTCACATGTGAGATTCACTTTCACTTTAATCTAGTACCTTATTACATATTACAGGAGTACTGGAACAAGATCGCCAAGGAGACAAATTCGCTATCAGTGTCTATTATTAAGAAAAAAAAAGAGTTTTATGCCTCTAAAGATTTAATAGTTCTGAATTTCTCAATACTTGGTAAAAGGCTATGATACAGTGTAAAAATGAGTAACTTGTTGATTCTCAGAATGTAGGGTTATGGTAGAAGTTTATATTGCGAAGGAATAGATTCATATTAGTACAGAGATCAGTCGTGACTCCATCCACTTTTCCGAACTTTCTTTAGCTTATTCATTTACAAAAAGACGTTTACGTAACATTGACATAGTGATGAATGAGCTTCCCAATTTGGTCGTTATAAATATTTCTTTTTTGCGTTTGCATTTGATCTCGACGTCCACTTTTGCATCTCTTTCAATACGTATGGTTGACTCGCTTCATGTGGACGGTATTGCTCAGGCCTCGTCGATGTTCTAAGAACTTATGAGGTTTTGTCAGAAAAAAAGTATGGCATAGATTCGGCTCATTTGTTTCACAAATATAGTAGAAAAATCGAATCGTAATCACAGTATTCGATTAATTATGCAGTTTAAGAGATTCTTTATAGAAAAAGTTCACATTTTCAGCAAATGCATGGCAATGTGTGTGCGGCAAGGAATGGCTCGGAGATTGGCTGGAGAAGGCCGGCGACAGTGACGTTGGAGACGGTCTGTAATTTTTTTCTTCCTGAACAGGAGCTATTGGGTTCAATAGGACAGATTACGACGTATACGTTATATTTTAATCTTTTTATTATGAGTTGTTTGAGGATTATTCCGCGTAGGTTTTGTTCGGAAATCGATATAGAGAAAACTTGAAAACCTAATACCTGATACCCAAATTCTTTACTCTCCGGTTGCAGGAGTTTTGGGATGCCTGGTGACGGCGGCCCGTCGTTGCGCCGTGGATCCTCAAGTGGGGACCAGCGAAACGCGCTCGGCATGGGTGACAGTAACGGCGTCGACTCTGGCCGTTGTCTCACTTCTCATTCTCGTTGCCATCGCATTCCTCTACATTACTGATGGCAAGCAGAGGGTATGTTGCAATCTCCAGTGAGGATATTAAGAGGGTCTTTGAATATCATAACTATGTGCGTTGCATGTTGATTGATGACCACGTGCAATAACATAGCCGCTGGTGCCTAGTCTAAACGTAGATCCGCAGGTACACTCTTTTAACCTGTGCACTTAAAATTTATTTATTTTCAGGTGGTCCTGACACGCCCACTGATCCGTCGCACTGACTCGGATCTGCATAAGCTGATCCCAGATTTGGACACTCTTATTCCTCGTGACATAGCGCCAAAGAGGGCCCATGGAATGGGTGAGAAGAAGCGCGTACATTTTGAGGAAAACTGACCGTGTGATCAGCTCAGCTTCTTCAGCCTCTGGCGATCTAAAATGAACTGAGGGTACTTTTTAGTCCTCTAAGTGTTGCCCAGTTGTTATACGTGTCTGAATCCCGTTGTTAATAATCGTGTATTCATAAATATCCCAAACCGCACTAAACAAGGCAATATTCCCTAAAATTGGGAGCAAAGTTGTTATCATCTAAGGACAGATTTAAATAATATTTCCATATGAAGGATCTTCTCATATGAAACGGAATTTCCAGCGAGAACTTTTTACTATAAACCTATTCTTTTGGATTTTGATAGAGTTTCTCGTTGAACTTCTCGGGATGGTGGAATTAGTGGCACTCGGGCAGGGATCGGTCGGTCCTTCATATATTTCGAAGTGTTTTGCTGTTTGTATATTGCACTCACTTAGCTCTCATTTAATTTCTGTAAATGTTGTTATTATCCATACTCAAATTCACATGTAGGTAGTTCTCAATGATAATTTCAACTGCTTGAAAACGAAATCTCTCTTACTTTTCACACTTTTTTTTGTCATTTAAAGAATTATTTGTACATTACTCGGGTCTGGGTCTTTTGATCTGTTATCTTGAACCATGTTTTCGCGAAATTCACATCGATCAGTATTCGTGTAATTATGCTGGCCGCTGTTGAGCAAAACCTACTTGATGATCCCATGGAGCGGATTACCTTTTTTCGAAGTCATCACGATTATTTTATCATGTTTCATTAAAGGTAATCGTTTGTAATAATTGTCAAGTGTGGTTCAGTTTTCATAGCCCATGGCTTATAACGAAGAACTCAACTGATTCATGACGTGGGAAAATTCACGTCCTTGGACGGGAGTAGATTCCTCTGCACATATTACATACATAGATACTTGGTGGCAAGGCTTCACCAGTCGTGAAGTGTGCAGCACATCTTCCATTCTTTCGTGGTCTTGTAATCGTAGTTTATATTCGTGGTTTTTATTTAAGGATGGTGGCTTATGCGAGGCTCACACGGTGATATGTAAAACAACTGAAACTGCGAGTATAGCTGTTTGAATTTACCTATGAACACTTGAGCCCAGTGTGTAGGTGGTCGTCGTAGAAGGTGCTTAGCTTGTCGTGAAGTGTCCACTACTGTTTTTTTTTCTCGTCCATCTGTCATCTGCTCTTCTCATTATATGAGGTCCACCAATGTTTCGCTGTGGATCTGTGGTTTCTTGGATCTCAATGCTGGAATGAAGTTCGAAGATCAGAGATTCGCATTCTGGTAAGATTTTGTGTGTGCCGATTAAATTTCAGGAGATCAGTAAAGCTTCCTGTGAGTAGTGCGGAGTATTCTTGACGTGGTCGAAGTATTACCTCACATCTCTGCCGAATAACAGAGCACTAGAAAGACTGTTGAATCAAAAAGCTGAACGTGGAGTTTTAGATCCGTTAGAAGGTGGTGGTTGCTTTGAGTGAGGCGAATGTTGCCCATGCTGCTTTCCTCCATATACGATGTTGCCTTGTCGAGCCCTTTTTACTATGGGTATGGTAAGAAGTTGATGGAAAAACTGCGTCCCTCATGACGCTGTTGCCATAATAGTCAGAAAGAGTTCCTTTGTGAGACGGATTCACTTCTTAGTCGACGAGCATCGACGAGCACTGGTAGGATTGCATTTGTTTCGACAATGTCAAACGCTTTTTCATAGCCGAAAAAAGTGAGGATTAAGGGCAGGTGGTATTCCCGAAAAACTTCAGTGGTCCTGTTCACGGTTTGTATATGGTTCGTGCAGCAAAAACCCTGTCAAAATCCTGCTTGCTCAACTGGTTGCGCCTCATCCAATATCCGTGATATGCGCAACACGATAATCTTGGTGAACATCATGTAGAATATACTCAGCAAACATATCGGTTGATGGTAATGAAGATCCCTCCGGTCGCTTTTCTTAGGCAAGATGACTGTGAGCAATAACTGCCACGACCGACTTTCTATTAACCTCGGCATTGATCAAGTAATTTTCTTCGTATTTTTGTTGAGTAAACGCGAGGTGTTATTATTCTTTGTTCACGATTAAGCTGACGTTTCGGCGGATTTCGCCTTCCTCAGAGCCTGGAAAGGACAAGTTGATAGCAATCTACTCTGCCAGACGCCTCCATAACCAAACAAAGATACTCCAAACCAAGATTTCAATCACTTTGAACACAGCTTTGCAAACTCACCGCTTCCTATGAGGTTTCCACTAAGTATGTCACGTAGAGACCAATCGCACACAAATCACATGGAAGTATAATGTGCCCCTCACATCAGAAAAGCAGTTTTATATACTGCCCTATATCACGCGTGATAATAAGGCATTCTTCCCTGCGGTTCATGTTCGGATTCCTGGAATTAATCCAGAGTGCCTCGAAAGTTTTTCGCGCCTGTGTTCTTGATTCGCGTGCGAGGATCGTGACACATACTTCGAAGCCGTCCCCGTTATGTCTCTGGGTCCTATGCGTGCCTAGCGGGGTATTTGGTCTATTTTTGCCGGCTAGGTGTTCTTTCATGACGTCTGGTGACGAATACATTGGCGAAACGGGTAGACGCCTCTGTGTCCGCATGTGACCAACCAAAAGAGAGAAAACAAGAAATCAAGATTTCAATCGCATTGAAAACAAAATAGGTTCTTTGAACACTCATCCCTTTACATGAGTCTTCCACCGAGTAACAGTATTTCAAGTGGAAACCAACCGCACGGAGTTCACATGGAAATGTAATGTACCTCTATCATACTAAGATCGCCTGTCGTCCCGTTCATCGTCGAGTGGCTAGAGTGGGCGCCAATAATCTTCCATTTTTCCCTCTCGCGTGCAAGAGTAGCCCAGTGGGTTCTGCTCGCTCTAAGGACTCGTCGAGCATCATATCTTTCTTCTAGGCTCTTCGTGAAGAACTTCGTGAAGAACTTTGACCATTGGGTCAGTTGTCTTTCTGCAGTACGTTTGATATCCTGAGGAATTCATTCACTAACAGCTCTTGTTCATCTGATGTTCTTCGTACGCACTGCGTGTCCGGGTCACCTTATCTGCCACAGTTTGGCGTATAGAACGGCGTTTTCGACTTTTGATCGTTGACGTAGGTCAGAACTTCGAATTCCTTGCTTCTTGCGTGATACGGGATACTTGTAACATCGTCTTTTCGACTGCGCGTTCAATAACACTGATTTTTCATTCTGGTTACGTAGTGAAAAAGGTTTCTGACGTCTTTAAAGCAGGAAGAACGTCGAGTCGAAAAGGTGGTCGCGGAGTCCGATATTTTTTGTTGTATTCACTACACCCTCGATGCTCTTGAAATCTTGCCAGGTTGTTTGGGTTGGAAATGGGACAACGATCGGCACGAAGCGTTGCCACTGCATTTATGTCTATGGTGGAAGGGGTAGTAGCCGACCTTCGGCAGTAACTCTACTGTAGATATGTTTTGTCATTTGCTCCATACAAGAAGAAGTGGGCAAATGTTTCTAGTTGTCGAATGAACAGTCAGAGTACATTAACTTTACCCGAAATAAATTAGCTTGCAATTCTGAGCGTTCAAATTAACGCATCCGATAACAGCTACATCGGGAAATGGTACCGAAGGTAAAGTAGCCAATACATACTGGTTCGTTAACTCTCCTTTAACCCCTCACACACAAAAGGGCTCTTGTAAAAAACATGTTTCGAACAGCCACCAATGCGAGTACGGAAAGAGAGCAGATGGAAGAATTCCTGAAATTGGCGCGGCAAATAGCCGTTTCTAATGACCGTAGCGGCTATTTCTCTCTTCCACGAGAAATGAAGTTTTGAACGAAGCAAGCGATGATCGGCTCTCGCGTAGAATTTTGGGAAAACAGTAATATCGGTTAGGTAGAGCCTACGATTTAATATGATGTGGTTTATTTCGTTATGATACTTTCCATTGGGAGGCCCTCACGTTTAGCGTTGAGACTGAGGCTCCTGGAATTGCAAGTTACTATGAATGGTCTTGGCCGTCGTGATAAACTCAAGTAGCTGCTCAGCTTGCTCGTTCCATTCTTATACGTTTGCCCTAATATTACGTCCTTCAAATGCTCCTAAAACCATCGTAAGTCCCATTTTTTCATCTCTTCGATGACTTTTGGAAAATGCTATGATTGACAACATGGATGAGGAAGAGGACGGGCTCATCCAACTTTTCGCGATAGTCCTTAGACGTTCTTAAGCTAGAAAGCCGTTAGGAAGTCACAAGAGATGTTGGCGATCTCTAACTTGGTTTTGACTTGTCAGGTTCTCAACATAACTTACAAAAAAGTCCACAGTTTGGCATAGCATCTCTTTAGCGTGAGACCGTACAGTACCAGTTTCGCACAGGGCTGGATCCGAACTGTTCCAGGACCACTGCTACTGTCGTCAAAACACTGCCTCAGCTTTTCACAACTCACAGAATAGAGCGTTAGTAAGAAAAACTAAACACCTAAAAAAATGTCTCAAATCTTAGCGAATGGAAAACCAGAAAGGTCATGATATATTACAACAAGGATAACTCACACAACATTCATTGCTAGTTATCATCTACACCTCACTCCCATTAAATTGGGAAAGATTTTGATTGGGTTAAAAAGAAGAGCAGCATCACTTGTGAATAGCCAAGTGTCTCTACTCATTATAAAAAGATCTCTCGTATTCAAAATGGGAAAATCACAATTTTATAGAATTATCACCGGGAATTCGCTCGATGAATTGGTAGACCACCGCGAGTCATTGTAAAGGCCAGATATTCATTCAGTCACCTACAACGATGCTTAATGAAGTCGAATGCATGGCACATCGCTCAGCGATTGATCAACGCCGACAGCTTTATCCTTTTTCAGTATGACTGTGCAAACCTCAATGCTAAGTTTTTTGTTATCATCCGAAAATACAATGAGATAAAGGTCTTCATCGTCTCGATTACTAAAAAAGTTAACAATGTTATCAACTTGAACAAAAATCAATGAAGAATGCGGAAATATCCTTTTGTTTCGATGTTTTATATTCTTTTTAAGAAACAAGTACGTTTTCAAAATTTCAGAGGCTGATTTGGTTCGAATCTTTAGTTAACGTGTGCATTCGAAGCTACATGGAAAACAAAAGCTAATCTCTTCGTACTGTGAGCCCTAACGAAAACTTTTACATTCTTCGGTTGTTAAGCTAACATATGGCTGATAAAGATGTTTATTCGGCTGACGCTTCGACGTCTCCGTCTTCCCCAATCCGATAATCCAAGTCGATGGTTGGCACTCGTTCGTCTCCTCGAAGTGGTGTCTTCGTCGTCGTATCGAGTCGGATCTTCTTCAAAACTTTTGCGTTGTAGCTAACAATCTGACGTGCTTCAAGGCGCAGTAAAAGTAGTTGTTGCGTTTCGGCTAATTTAACGGTTTAGAAGATCACATTTATCAGACGCTATTCAACTTCTTTCTAAGCGTATCCTATATTGAAATTTTCAGGGTTTGCACAGATTACAGGGAGAGTTTGTTAGTTACCGTAGTTCGTTTGCTTTACCGGAACAATGAATAGTATAGGCGCATCGTATCGAAACACAAGAAAAAACGAATAAAATGGTGCAAACATGAGGCTATTATGCAGATTCTATTCAGTTAACGTTTCCATTCATCGGCTCTGATGAAGACGAAGACGTCGAAACGTTAGTCGAAGAAAAGCTTCATAACAGCCTCGTTTAAGCTGAACAACCCATAAAAAATTACTGATTTGATAAATCGGTAGGCCACTGCACGTCATTGTATGGACCTGATATGCATTCAACATGGGCGCGTGTGGCGCAGTGCTTCGAGGCGCTCCCCAAGACACAGGGGATCGATTCCCGCGTCTCCGGCCCACTAAGCCTTCCATCCCTCCGAGCTCGGCGAGGCAGCACTGGCTGGATAGATTGGTATGTCATCGCGAGTCATTGTAAAGGCTAGATATGCATTCAATCATCTTCATCGATGCTTAATGAAGTCGAATGAATGGCGCATCTCTCAGGTATTGGTAAACGACGACAGTTTTATCCTTTTCATCCTTTATCGTGAAGTTAAGCTAAGGGTAAACCTAGGTCACGGCAGGGCCCACGAAGCTCGTGGCCACGTTATCACAAAAAGTAACTAAAAACACTCTCCAAAAGTATGACCTTATTCCTGCTCCTCGAGCAACTTAGAGCTACTTATGAGCTCTTGTATGCAGCGAGTGCAAATTTGGACCACTGCCAGTCTACGCTGACTGATGGAGTAACAGGTGACACGGGCGGATTTCCTTGTCGGCTTCCACTGATGACCAAAACACTACTTTTTCTTTGAGCTAGCGTAGAGGTGTTAAGTGTAATCCTTATTTGAAAATGATAGGGTATGGCAATTTTGAGCTTTTCATAAAATAAAGGGCAGTGTGGCATTCAAATTTCTGGAAATAGACGGATAACCCCTAATTCCTCGACTCCTGGATGCACTGAGTTTTTCTTAAAGATTTCTTCTTTTATTTCACTGAGGGAGCGTACACAAGAATTTGAAAAAAGGACAAGAAGACGTATTGATGAAAACAAATCTATGGCAATACAGCAAGTTATGCGTTAAGTTGTCAACGAACAAAGTAGATGAGCAGATCCAGAGAGTGACGGCAGCACAAGGCAACTTAATGAGCTACGTCGTATAACATTTAACGGCATCTATGGGTGTATCATTACATCACTAATAAATCGATACAAATAAAGAAGCTAGATAAGATGAAGCCTAAGACAAAAGACCGGACGAACAATGAAAGGTTGAGGAACGGTCGGTAGCACTGCTGAGTGCGTCCTCCGCCACCATTCATCTTTTACGTGACCGAACTATCGATTTTACGACAACAGTAAAAAAAAATTAGGAACACGTGAAAGGCTTCGATTTCACACACGCTGGAGAAGTAGATAAGCAAAGCCGAAAACGACAGGCTTTTAGTCAGAGTCGGGAAACGGACCAGCCAGCACCTTCTTGATGAAATCTGAAACAGGTTGTTCCCATGCTTGTGTACTTTTTAATATATTTTCAGACTTATTTTCACCAAATAAGTGAACTAATATGATGGCTCATAACTAAGTAGCCGTTGCTTGAAATACAAAAAAACCCCGTTGTCTTGGATTACATGAAGCTCCTTCAATGCATGTATTTTTCTCAAAGAACTGGAAACTGCACAAGCTTATCTAATCAAGAATTATCAACAGGACCTCTCAATTTAGTGGTTCCCAAACCCTATTCATACTTACTGGCTTGGCTTCTTTCTCTCTGGAAAGTAACACGGCCTATCAGTTTTTCGCTCTGGGACGCGATTTCATCAATTTATGTGATGAGCAATAATACCGTATACCTCGACACAATCAGTGAATGCTTCTAAGAGTAAAAGTAGTATTGTCACATAACTACAACAATTTTACCTGGCAATAGTAAATGGGCTAAAAGATTGGGAGTTCCTGGTCTGACCAAAAAAGGATAACATAACGCTTTAACTACTCACTGGTTTACACTTTAGCATTTTTTTAGGATATATGCCTTTGTTTTCTCCGATTCTATACTTGGTTGTTCAAATAAGTTCAAATCGGATAAATATGCAAGAGACCCACCTTCGTATTTGACCATACCCTCGGCATCCTCGACTCCCTTCAAAAGCTCATCGACCTATGAAGGAGCAAATCAAGAACTTTAAAAAGTACTAGACAATGCTTTATTCCTTAATCCGAACCTCGTCAGCACTAAGTCGCTCCCCAAGAGCGAGCAGAATATGTCTGAGCTCAGCAGAGAGAATCTTTCCACATTCTTCCTTGTCGAAAACCTTCAGTCCCTCGACAAAATCAGCGTACGTGCCTTGTTCCTGAAATCGAGGCCGTTTACTTCAATCAAACGAAAGAAACACTTAGCAAGTTCTTCAATGAAGTTCCTTTGTAGAACTCAATTTCTTTCATTAAGCAAAAGATCTTGGAGAAAGCTGTGACTCAATTTTATGGATACAAAGACGGTTATGCCAGGAAATAAGGTGTCATAAAAGCCTTCTAGTAAACAATTTAACTGTGCTAGATGTAGAAAATACATACTCGAAATTAGCAGTGGATCTCTACTATACCGAAGTTTGAATCACTACAGCGCACATCTCAAAAGATCATCTCAAGCTAAATTAGAGAAGACTCCACCATAAACAGATCTCGTTTGAAAGCTATACGTCTTCTTCAACCCATTCATATTTTCGTCTTTTTAACATTACTTAATTATTTCTATCAATTTTCCAAGAGATTACTCGACCAGAAATGGATGAATAATCGATTGAAAGCCATTCGTCTTCTTCACCGCTGCTTCAAATTTTCGTATTATTCAACAGAAGTTCATTGTTTTCATTATTTTTCTACTTCACATCCTTTCCTGGGAAAATACCTTCTCAGACGAGACATAGTTACCCCTGAAATCTCCTGTACGAAAGTATGGTAACTATTGGTTCCCTCGGCTCCCTCCACACTGGTATGGTCGCTTGTTGTAACTGAATACCGTATTCCTATATAAATCGGGACGTACATCACCTCCGTACAGTCTACCAACTTAATAACGAGTCAATATTTGCTCAACCACCATAAAAAATGAATTTATCCCACGGAGTGTTACTGTGGTTATCCTTTTGCCGTGAGCAGAAAACAACAAAGTACAAGAATGTAATGTGCTTCATGTCCCCCAGCGACAAGACCCTGCTGATCGGCTTGAGCTCACGACGAGAATGATCAAGCAGCTCCAGTTTACGCTCTCGATGTTATTGTTCCGATCAATGCATAGTGTTTTCCCTCCATCATTTACCGACAGGAGCACTTTACAACATGCGCGCTCTCTCCGAGAAGATTTCACGGACTGCCGCTTCCTCAGCTTCTTCTCGAAGAGGGTATTCTCCATTATTCGAAAGATAGGAAAAGGAATACGCTATTAGACGGAGATGTGAGGTATGAAAAAGTTCACCAGTGAAGGAACTTCGTTAGTATGTGTTCTCGATCTAGAAAATCACGTAAACTTGATGCTTATACAGCACGACAACACTTTTGGCTTAAATTCCATCCAAGCATTATCATCTTTCACATCCCCGAATGTGCGCACCATCCATGAATTGTCCTTTCGCATCAGTCCACGCTGATTTTGAGCGTTGGCAAGTCAATCAATTGCGAAATTCCAGGAATTTTCGGGAAAAAGCTAAACAGATCGGCGCACTTGAGGGTGTCCGTCAGCTGCACAGCGAGAAGGGATAAATGTGATTTCATGCCAAGACATCGCCAACTATGAGTTAAAAACCGGATCAAACGGATGATGATGCTTCGTTTTCAACCGAGGATAAAGCTAAATTCGAAAGGAAGAATGGTTGAGAAATATCTCGTTATTTCATTCTTTCGCCAAACGGCATCGGCACAAGTGTGACGTAAAGCTGAGAACCACTAGGATTATTGTGATGATGGGAAAGGAATGATTGAATCAATTTGTTACATGGGAAGAAAATGATGATGACTAGTCTTGCCTTCTCCTTCGACAGTTGCTCGAAAATCGGCAGCCATTCCTCGAATGTAATGCGCTTCTCACCTTTGCGTTTGAATTCTTGACCGGATGCCTAAAGAATGGAGTTATTCGTGGATGGTATATGCAACCACCGCAGTCTTCTTCCAAATGACAAGATTTATAAATTATAAAAAAACGATAAAGCTCTCGGCGTTGATCAATCCCTGAGGGATGCGCCATACATTCGACTTCATTAAGCATGGAGGTGATCGAATGCATATCTGGCCTTCACAATGACTCGCGGTGGCCTACCGATGTAGCGAGCCGCTGGTGCCATCCTCTCAGACAAGTCTGGTACCAATTTTCCGATCCCGGATGGATGGAAGGCTTTGTGGTCCATGGGGGCGGGGATCGATTCCACGTGTGTGTTGCAGGGCGCCTCCAACCACTGTGCCACACGCACCCTTATTTATAAATCATTAGAATAAATAGGGAACAAATCAGAAGAGAATTCGAGCAAATTTCTTGTTAGAAATCAGTCAAGCAAGCTTCTCACTCTTCAACGCTTTTTAAAATGCGATTGTAAATAATACATTTTCAAAACAAGAAACTTCTGAGGCTGACTCTTTATATTCTAGTAACTTCACATAAAAGTAACAATCTAAACGTTGTAAAATTTCAAACGTTCGGATGAAACAACGGAAAGGTTCCCCTCTTAAAGAAACGGATACGGCAAATTTCAAGACTCACTTTCACGACCATGGCGTTGGTCGGCTTCAATCCAGCAGCCCGAACCACGTCACCAATCTGGGTTCCGTCGATTTTGCCATCGAGTTCCTCGTCGTAAAGGTTGAAAATCTCTTTCAGCTGATCTGAAAAATTTGAATGCTACGATCTAGTTGGAAGAGGTATGTGGACATTAACAATCAGTTAGACGTATGAATACGAAGAACGACTAACCCTGAGAAGGCATGTTGATCGTAAGGTGCCAAGTGACTTAGAGAGACGAGTCTCAACACTACACCAGCAGTGTACAACGAGAAGCTGGTCGAGCGCAACGCCCAGGATATTTTTATTCCTAGGAAGAGTGAGCTGTTGATGTAATAGCTAATGAATAGCACAGTCATCACTGGGACGCAGACGCCAACCACTCAGCGATAGTTCACTGGGCTGCCGAGAGAACTCAGGGTTAGAGAGCTGCACTTGCGGGACGAGGGAGGGGGAAGATATTTGCCTGGGCCGTCAAGAAGACAGCAGATATTTGCTTGGCTCTCCTCATGAAGAGAGTTCCCCTACGGCCGATGTAAAATCCACCAAATGCTGTAAAACTTGTCTCCACAAATCTGGCTGGGTAATATAACCAGTCAACCTAGTGGTAAAATAGCGATTCTAAAAATCCCAAGTTCTGCAACGAAACTACAGTTAGAGCAGTGGTAATTACGCCGTTCAATAATCACAAAGCTCTAGCTGGACCCCACACCAGGTGAGCGAATACCGCTATGTGGTCGGAAAATTGATTTCAGCTTTGTATGTGATCGACTTCGCCTTAATTAAGAAAAGATGGCAGCTACCCGTGGTGAAGATCTGAGAGTGCCCAAGTAGAGCCATCGCTAGATACGAGGATACCAGGGAAAATAGGCTCCATCAGTATTTAACGGCATTCATAATAAAGACAAAAAGTCCTCAAGCAGTAGTCGAGCACAGAGGCAAAATCGAAGATCGCCGTCAATGATGGATACGTGCAAATAAATTAAATGAAAGCTTTGCCGGGCTCTGCACAGTGCATGATTTCGTATCACCTAAAATAAAATTTAAAAAAACGTCTGCAATGACTACAATTTCTAGGTAAGTGCTGACAGTAGTAAAACAAAACTATTTGCACAAAACTAAACTATTTAAACAGCAAACAAAATAAATACTTTACACGATTAAGCTGACGTTTCGGCGGATTTCGCCTTCCTCAGAGCCGCTTCCTATGAGGTTTCCACTAAGTATGTCACGTAGAGACCAACCGCACAAAAATCACATGGAAGTATAATGTCAACCTCATAGGAAGCGGCTCTGAGGAAGGCGAAATCCGCCGAAACGTCAGCTTAATCGTGAACAAAGAATAATAACACGTCGCGTTTGCTCAACAAAAATACGAAGAAAATTACTTGATCAATGCCGAGGTTAGTAGAAAGTCGGTCGTGGCAGTAAATACTTTACACCCGATGAACTATCCAAATTCATCATGGAAGACGGGCTCGAAAAAGTGGTTAACTGTAGACTAATTCCCAAGTCGGTTAACGAGTCGTCATGTGATTTCTATGGAATCTCGCGCTGATATCATACGATTTCGGTACGAAGCAATACTGGAAGAGTAATTATTCTTAGGAAGGCAGTCGTATATGGCCTCCACTAAACGAACGTAGATCCTTGCACGATCTCCGAGTCCACCCTATTAAATAATTAAAACATTGACGATGATTTCATGAGATACAGTAACTTCCATTGCTGCAGCATACTTTTAGCCCATTGCTCAGAAATGCAGTCACCAATCTGTTCTCCTCATCTCATCTCAGATTCTGACCGCCAAGTCCAGTGTCACCAATCAGACGATGATCGACTCCGTTTCTTTTTAGATGCATCACGGTCGTTCCACGTCCTCTTTCAGCATGTGCTCCCGTGACAATATCTTTTGGGATGATAACATTTTCGTTGAGGAGGTCTAGAGTCGGCCTACTTACGAGTTTTTCATCCATTAAGAGCTGAGCAAGCTTGGTCAAATCGCGAGCTGTTCCGATTCTAAGTACTGCAGGTTGTTCCAACGCATACATCTCCGGGTTGTTAATCGTATTTTTAAAAATAGTTTGCAGCCATGACGGATTAGTTGCTACCTTCATACCAAGTCAACCTCGAAGGTACTGCTTGAATATTAATGCATAGTCGACATTATTCGGATCAGTAAGAAATTCGTCCATGCCGCCAATGAGTGTCGGTTGAGTGATTCTGGCCACACGCCATGCTTTCTCCATTGGTAGACCAAAGTGAAATTCCAGTTTGTGCTTGTCGGCAATTTCTTCTTTGAAGAACTGGCCGATTCCTCGATGTTTGATGTCGGTTCGTCTAATGATCTGATCCACTAACCATCCATATGACAAAGCATGATGTATGTGCGTGTATGTGTGTATGTGCGCAATGGTGTATGTCCGGAAGAAAAACAAGTTGTTATCACCGGACATTATCATTATATCGACCATCAGCATCGTGTATAAAAGGGCACCACTGAGTAAGGATGCCTCATTCGAGGAGATGGCTCACTGAAGAAGACCTGACTCGACACGAAGGCGAAGCTGCACGTCGAGACGAATAACGAGCGAGGACCATCGACTCGGATCATCGGTTCTGAGCAAGACGAAGACGTCGAAACGTTAGCCGAAAATAAACATCATTATCAACCTCGTGTAAGCTCATCAAAGAAAGAAAACTATTTTCTTCGTATTTTTGTTGAGCAAACGCGAGGTGTTATTATTCTTTGTTCACGATTAAGCTGACGTTCCGGCCGATTTCGCCTTTCTCAGAGCCTGGAAAGGTCAAGTTGACAGCAATCTACTCGGCCAGACGCCTCCATAACCAAACAAAGAAACTCTAAACCAAGATTTCAATCACTTTGAACACAGCTTTGCACACTCACCGCTTCCAATGAGGTTTCCACTAAGCATGTCACGTAGAGACCAACCGCACAGAAATTACATGGAAGTATAATGTGCCCCTCACATCAGAAAAGCAGTTTTATGTACTGCCCTATATCACGCGTGATAACGAGGCATTCTTCCCTGCGGTTCATTTTCGGATTTCTGGAATTAATCCAGAGTGCCTCGAGAGTTTTTCGTGCCTGTGTTCTTGATTCGCGTGCGAGGATCGTGACACATACATAACATACATATATATACCATAACATACATATATGTACATACCAAACGACAATTCTAGCGATAGAAGGGTCCCGTTTATCCTACCCTTCATCTCAAATGATATAAGTACAGCTATAAAACGCTGCTTAAGAAGGGCGGGCTTAGAGAAATCGGTGAGCGTAGTTGAAATACCACCGAGTAATCTTAACCGCCAGCTAGTTCGTAACCGCCTATATGACCGTCTATGTGCAACTCAAAATTGCATAATTTGCCCCAGTGGTAGAGACGGTGACTGCATGAGTTCGGGTACAGTTTATCTGATCTCCTGTAAGACATGTGGTGGCGAATACATTGGCGAAACGGGTAGACCCCTCTGTGTCCGCATGAAAGAACACCTAGCCGGCAAAAATAGACCAAATACCCCGCTAGGCACGCATAGGACCCAGAGACATAACGGGGACGATTTCGAAGCATGTGTCACGATCCTCGCACGCGAATCAAAAACACAGGCGCGAAAAACTCTTGAGGCACTCTGGATTAATTCCAGAAATCCGAAAATGAACCGCAGGGAAGAATTCCTCGTTATCACGCGTGATATAGGGCAGTATATAAAACTGCTTTTCTGATGTGAGGGGCACATTATACTTCCATGTAATTTCTGTGCGGTTGGTCTCTACGTGACATACTTAGTGGAAACCTCATAGGAAGCGGTGAGTGTGCAAAGCTGTGTTCAAAGTGATTGAAATCTTGGTTTAGAGTTTCTTTGTTTGGTTATGGAGGCGTCTGGCCGAGTGGATTGCTATCAACTTGACCTTTCCAGGCTCTGAGGAAGGCGAAATCCGCCGAAACGTCAGCTTAATCGTGAACAAAGAATAATAACACCTCGCGTTTGCTCAACAAAAATACGAAGAAAATTACTTGATCAATGCCGAGGTTAATAGAAAGTCGGTCGTGGCAGCTACGTGGAGCGTCCCCATGTGGTTGATATGCGGGTAAACGCGAACAGAAAGGGACCTTTTGTTTCCCTGAGAGTGGATCCAGAGCATGGACTAGGTGTTTCTGATGCGTCATTTTGACACTTACCTATTTCTTCGGCCAAATCGCCAAAATCTTGCAATCAAGCGACCGAAAAGTAGTTGAAGGATGGCTGGTAGTCTCCTCCAACAAATAAGTTCACGTCTACTATAGGAGAAACTAACAAGCTATTCGTGAGTATATCCAGTCTAAGGGTTCGGTAACCAAGGCATGGGTATCGGCAGCAAAATAAGGTAAAATGAAGTGGCCTCATTTCCAGATCACAAAGCGCCTCCATCATGGCAGCACTGGGTATAAAGGCACAGAAAGTTCACTAAAATCTCAGAATCATTTCAGACTGGCCAAATCTGGAGGGATAAATGTGGTGGTACCTAGAATGGACGTTTGCTTGCATCTAAGTCCTTTGTAGTGGTCTGATAATACAGGATGCAAGGATGATGTACAAAGTTATCGGACTGGTTGAGACTAGAATACGTCAACCGTCGACTGTGATACCAGAGAAGAACTGCTTCTCGGAACAGACCATGACGGAGTCGGCAGCGTCGACGTTCTCGTTAACACTAGTTCGGCCAGGAACGGATTCATTCGAACAACTAACAATTTGAATCGGACGTTTACGGTGACGTTTATGTTTTTCCTTGGTAGCTCACAATTTCAGAGGCCCTCCTCTCAGTGCTGGACATGGGAATTTCCCAATGGAGAACAACATGTAGAAACAGACCACAGCATATTAAATCGAATATTTCACCTAACCAGTGTCGGTGCTGTCTAAAAATTCTTTACGCAGTCTGATCATCGCCTTCTTCGTGCAGGATTCTATTTCTCGTAGAAAGAGAGAAAGCTGCTAAGTTAAAGAAAAACAAAGTCCCAAGATCACCATCAACTGAGATATATTCAGATCAGTAGGTGGTTCTTGGGAAGATGGCGTTACTGATAACATCGACGAGAAATATAACCGGCACATTCAATACCTTCACGTTAGCGTTATGAATGCTCAGAGTTTCAACGATAGCAAAAGACCTCTCTCTCCAGAAACAAGAGCTGATACGGCAGCGAGGAATCGCACGATCTACAGGCAACCGCCAACTCACGTCCGAACTTTGAAAGCAATGAAGAATGGTGATAAAAGAATATCTTAAAGAAAGAAAAGCAACAGTTATGGTCGAAGCTGCAGAAGCGGGGAAAAGCATTCGCAAAGCTCACCGATGCTTCGCCAATTACAAAACCAAAATGATTGTACTTCGATGCCCAGAAGGAGCAATTAGAGATTCCAAAGAGCCAATGGAGAAAATTATTAGTCGGATCCCTTCAATAGCTACATCGTCCTGCCCTCATATGAAATAAAGTACGATAGATAAGTTGTCCTAGCGGTTCGCCCTACCGAAACTCGATATGCTGCTTTGTTGGTGAAAAGTCGAACAACACCAGGTCCGGACAGGATAGGACCTGCACACTTGAGGAACCTTCGGCCACTCGTCATCAACACACTGGTTCACCTCTCCGCACGTTATATGTCACAATACAAGCTTTTCTATTCAATGAAAGACCAGCAAGATTGTTATTATTCAAGAACGAGATGTCCACAATATCGGTGAATATCACCACGTGTACCCACCATCTATCGTCTATAAGCTCTTCGCTCAAGTAATCCTCAACGTGATTAACAGAACACTGGACGAAGGTCCACACGATAACAAGACTTATTTATGAATTTCGAGAGTGCAAGAGACCCCTTTGACTCAGTTGAGAAAGAAGCAATCATGGAAGCTATGGACACTCAGGCCCTTCCTAGTTAGCACAAAAAGATTAATCGTGAGTTATTTAAACATTTTAAACCAGAATATTACCATTGTATGCCGATATTAGGGGCGCGTGTGGCTCAGTGGTCGGAGGTGCCCTTCAACACACACGTGGAATCGATCCCCGTCCGCATGGACCACAAAGCTTTCCATTCCTCCGGGATCAGCAAATTGGTACTAGACTTCTCTGAGAGGGTGGCAGCAATGGCTCGATATATCGGTAGGCCACCGCGAGTCATTGTAAAGGCCAGATATGCATTCAACCACCTCAAAACGATCCTTAATGAAGTCGAATGCATGGCGCATCCCTCAGGGATAGATCAACGCCAAGAACTCTATCTGTTCTTTTATGACAGTATTAACATCGACGTAGAGGGATTCTACAAAGTGATACCATCTCGCCAAAATTGCTTACTTACTCCAAAGCATCTTGCGATGATTGGAATGGGAGAATATAGGAGTAGAAATCGATAGTCAGCAATTACAGCATCTTTGTTCTTGTAACACCAAGCATTAGCCAGATGGAACGAGTGCTAGCTGACTTTAGTAACACTTGTAGAAAGATTGGTCTTCGTCTAAATCTCACAAGAACGATGTTCATGAAGAACGGTGTGGAGTCGTATGCCTCATTTGCGTTCAGTGGAATAAAGCAGAAAGAAGTGGACAATTTGGTGACCTTTCAAGAGCACTGAGTTTGTAATGAGAAGGACTACGAGCATGCGACTCCGTGCTCACCTTTTCGACACCACGATTCTTCCTGCCTTAATGTATGCTTCGGAGATGTGGTAGCTGCGAGAGCACGATGGCAGACCACTCAGCATGTGAGCCGCTGAAAGAGGGATGATGGAAGTATTCCATAGCACGGAAGTAAGAGTAGAGCATGCGAATATGTAGTATTGAATATGAAGCTCCGAACAATCTAAATTATCAAAAACCAAAGATGTGGTTGTGCATGCCAGATGTCGAACATTAGGTGGATTGGAATGGGTCTGAACGATGATAAATGGAGAATAGCTGTTAGCGACTGCATTCCTCGGATGCCAAACGTGCGACAGAAAGACCACTAACCCGATTATTAGAGTTCTTCACGAGAACCGTGGATGAAGAATATGGTGCTCAACAAGTCTCTGTAGAGCTTGGAGAACCCAACGGGCGACTGCTTCATGTGATGAGGAGAAATGGAAGGTTTACTGGCACCTGTTCGAATCACTCGACGATGAACGAGACAACGGGCGAGATGATACAGGTGGATGTCTTATAGTATTGGTCTGTCTGGAGACCCAAAAATTCGGAATATAAATGTATGTATACATACATATATATGTATACATATACATATATACCTTCTTGGATTGTTCAGCTTACACGAGGTTGATAAACAGATTTATTCGGCTAACGTTTTGACGCCTTTGTCTTCATCAGAGCCGATGATCCAAGTCGTTGTCCACAATCGTTCGTACACTGCGCGGTCTTTTTCGTAGTACCATGTCAGAGTTTCTTCAGTGAAGCACCGCACTC